CGAGGAGCTCGTGTCCTTCATCTCGTGAGGCCTGCCCAGTACCGCTAAACAGCCCCATCGTCAACCTGAAGCCAGTCCTGTTCCTGCAGATAACCCATGGACTCGCTCCTGGGTGTGTCAGACACACACTTAGTGTGTCAGACACACGGCTGCCCCCTCCCACCAGAGTCAGCATGCATGTCACCAGTGTGTCTTGCTTTCAGGTGGTCGCCATGAAGCGGAGTATCAGGAGGCTCTTTCTGAGCAGAGACTTTCCGTACAAAGAGTGTCACACGTCAGGACTGCCAGTGCCAGTCTGACTCCCAAGAAGGCCTGGCCCTGTGAAATGTGTGGTTCGATCTTCAGTGACGTCTTGCATGTGGCTGGGCACCAGGGAACACGTGACAAGCAGAAACTGCACGGGTGTGAGACGTGCGGGAAACAATTAGATGACAGCACAGAGCTTCACGAGAAGCAGCACTCCGGAGGGAGACTTTTCAGAAGCAACGGGGACAGAGCCTGGTTCGTGAAGAACTGTACGTGCCATGTGTCAGGGAAGACACTTTTCTTTGGGGAGGTTGGGAAAGACTTCTTGACCAGCTCTGGATTTTTCCAGCAACAGAGCACGTACAGCAGGGAGCAGTCAAACAGCGGAGCCAAGCACATGGCCGCCTTGCAGAAGGGAGCAGCTCACCTGTTCTCAGCGACTCTCGACAGCTGGGGAGGCTGGACGAACTCCTTCGGCCGCAAACATACGCTCATTCAGCACCAGGCAGTCCTCACTACAGAAGGATGTTTTAAGTCCAAGGTATATGAAAAATCATTTAGCAAAAGCTGCAGCCTCAGACATCAGAGTGTTCACACTGGAGAAAATATTTTTGGATCTGGGGAATGTGGGATATTATTTAACAAGTCCCATGACATTGAACGCTGGAGAGGAAACACCAAGGAAAGGCCTTACGAATGTGCAGAGTGTGGGAAATCATTTACCCGAAACTCCCACCTCGTTACACATAAGCGAGTTCACACTGGCGAAAGACCTTATGAGTGTGGTGAATGTGGGAAGTCTTTTAGGTACAAGTCCAACCTCACTGTACACCAGAGAATTCACAATAAACAAAGGCCTTACGAGTGTGGTGAGTGTGGCATTTCCTTTAGCCAAAACGTCAGCCTCATTTTCCACCAGAGAGTTCACACCGGAGAAAGCCCTCATCAGTACAGTGAATGTGGAAAATTCTTCAAGCAAAGCTCTAGCATCAGTTTACGTCGAAAAGTTCACACTAGACAAAGTCCTATTGAGTGCAGCGAATGTGGAAAAACCTTTAGCTGCAAATCTAACCTCACTAAGCACCTGAGAGTTCACACTGGAGAAAAGCCTTATGAATGTGGGCAATGTGGAAAGTCCTTTAGCCAAAGCTCGAGTCTCACTCAACACCAGAGAGTTCACACTGGAAAAAGGCCTTATAAGTGCAGTGAATGTGGGAAATCCTTTGCTGCAAACTCCAATTTTATTAAACACAGGAGAGTTCACACTGGACGAAGACCTTACGTATGCAGTGAATGTGGAAAGCCATTTCGCCAGATCTCTGCCTTCCATTATCATCAGAGAGTTCACACTGGAGAAAGGCCCTATGAGTGCATTGAATGTGGGAAATCCTTTGCTGCAAACCTCAGCCTCATTAACCATAAGAGAGTTCACACTAGAGAAAGGCTTTATAAGTGAAGCAGATGTGAGAAATGCTTTAGCTAAAGCTCTGTGTTCCTTCGCCATCAGTAGTTCACACCGCGCCAAGAACTAATCAGTGCAGTGAATGAAAAATCCTTTGTTCTAAATCCAGACTTATTGACATGATGAATGTAGTGAATATTGGACATCCTTTAGCTACAACTCCAGTGTACTAAAACAATGCGATGTTCACACTGGACAGCGGCCTTATTTCTATGGGGAATGTGCGAAATTCTGTAGCCAAAACTGGTCTCAAGACATATCAGAGTTCACACTGAAGAAAGGCCTTTAGCTTTATCATTGGAAACCGCAAAGGTCACATGGGAACAACAGGTTAGATGTGTAAGAAATGTGTTATTTCTATGGTATAACCCTAGGGTGATCCCTTGTGAGTGTGCCATCTGCTTGAATTGAACCTCATACATCTGAACACCCACATAAATTCCAGGTATGTGGGAACTGCCTTGCACTTTTTAAATGCCCGGGGCCATTGCCAGATTTCTGTCACTGCCAGTTCTGCAGCAGAAGCCTTCTCACCTCTACCACTTGGCTGCTGCCCACAGTGTGCGTCACTCACCCACCTCATTGCGCCCAGGGAAGGAAACCTCACTATCTCCGTTCACAGGAAGGATTTTTGGGAAGCCTGAGCACTCATTTCTTCTTTTTTGATAAGTTAGGCCATGGACATGGCCCATTTTTGGCTCAGGACTCTGCCGATGACTTGCAAAGATGGATGACCTTATTCAGGAATACCATTGGTCTCATGTGGCTAATGTGGAGTGTTTCATCCTCTAGTCGTGAGTCTGAGACCAGCCTACCTCATCGTACTGGTTCGTGTGACAATGAAGGCAGGCCGCATTGTTCGTGCTCATTTAATCCTGGAACTCTCGATGTGGTGGTTGGAAAACAAGTGCTTTCTGCTAACATGAGGACATGAGCACTTTTTGTTGGCATCCCAAACTTTGCCTCAGAGGGAACGATGTGATGGCTCAGAGAATGTAGCTGTCTCTGCAGTTTTGGCCTAGTTTCCATTGCTGCCCAAGCCTCATTTGTAACCCAAATGCCATGTTTTGTGGGTTCAGAGGTCAGCCTGTGGAGGAGACAGTTGTGGCAACTTCTGTTACTTCACCAGCAACATGGAATTGTTCTCTCGTTCATAGTGGGTGTTGCATTGTGCTCAGTACTAATGAGGAAGTCTGTTTCCAGGGTCCTCAGAGGGGCCATGGGCCCTGGTGTCCCTAATTCCCTAGGGTAGTGTGACTGGTTGTAAGATTATGGGGTGACTCATACTTGTTACCGAAACAGTGGATTTCTGGGAAGTGGAGGAAGGAGACCATAGAAAATTAGTTGGCCTGCCCCTCTTTTAAAGGGGCGTCCACAGTGTTCAGCCACTACGGCTGTGAGGACGAGCAGGCTCAGGAATTCTCGCATCCTCTAGAGCTGTGTGTGTGTGTAGCTGAGTGGCCCTGTCAGAAAATAAAGGTGTCATGGATTCCCATGGCCGCTGGGCTTTTTATCTCAAGACCATTACTGCACAGGCAGATCTTTGAGGAGGAGGAAGAATGCTTCGTCCAGCTCTGGCTTTGTGACCAGCCTGCATTCCTGTCGAATCAGGTGGAACAGTCTTTATGGCTTGCCAGTGTTTGCTGCCAGCGAGGCGAGACACCTGTGCCAGGCATGAGGAAGGAGATGGTGGTGTCAGTACTGTGTCGCCAAACTTGATTTCCCAAAAACAGAATTCTAGGTTTCTCTTTTGAACCACGTTTTAAAGCATCAAGAAGGTATAAACCATGTGCAATAAATGGAATATATTTAAATTGTTCAACTTAGGAAATTTGCACATTCATATAAACTCGTGAATGCTTTATCACAGTCATGATCATGAGTTTATGCATCACCCAGATTTACCTCCTGCCCTCCAGTCAGCCATTGATTCACTTTCCTTCACAGGAGAGTTTACGTTTTCTAGAATTTCATATGATTGAAGTCATAAAATGTTTATTTTTCCTCCTGGGTACCTTCATGCAGCGTATTTATTTGAGATTCATTAATGATGATTTTGTGAGTAGTTTGTGCTTTTCGTATTGTTGAAAAGTATGATGAACTACTGTTTGTTTACTCGTTCATCTGCCTGTGGACATTTGTTTCCAGTTTTTGGCTATTGCAAATAAACTACATAGATTTTAAAGCAGTTCTTCCTATGTCTTTATTTCACTGGTCTTGTGTTAGTATCTTGGGTTTCAGTGCCTGAACCCCAGATAGATGAATATACAACTTTTCAATAAGGGTCATGGTCTGAGATGGTGGTTCCCTTTCGTGTTGCTACCAGCAGCGTATGAGGGTTTCAGTTCTTCCTGATCCTTGCCAATGCTGGGGATGGCTGGTTTTTTGATCTCTTTAAATAAATGCGTAGCAATATCTCACTGCGGTTTCAGTTGCATTTCTCTGACGTTCATGATGTCGAGCATATTTTTTCATTTATCTGCCTTCTGTATGTCGTCTTTGATAAAATATCCATATTCTTTCCTTGTTTATTTTTTTAAAATGAATTTTGGCTGTTTCCCTTTTCATTAACAATTAAGAGTGAAACCACAAACACTTATGTTAAAACTTCGTTCATTCTTCAGTGATGTGACTTTTTTGCTGTAAGGAATTACTTTTGAAAACCAGAAGAATATTTCCTGTTTTTTTTTGTTTGTTTGTTTTTTGCACTGTACACAACACAGTGGTCACACACAGCACATATTTTTAAGTTTAATGTGTGTTATTAATGTAGTCATCACATTCTTAAGTCTAGATATTCAACAGTCCAATATCTCAAGCTGTGATTTGTGGTGTTTGTCAGTTTCCTCGCTGTACACACTCCCACTGTGGCTGCTTTGAAATTGTCGGTGTGGTTTCATGGAAAATGGAGGTGGGAAGAGTTGCCAGTAGCTATAATTCACCTCAAGACCGTAGGAAATAAAATGTAGTATGATAATTAGAAAGTCAGAGGTTTTTAGATTTGATTTTTAAATAGTTTAATGGAAATATAATTGACTTAAACTGCATATACTTAAAATGTACATTTTGATGTTCAGATGTATGCTTACGCCCTGAAACCAAAAGTTGCCTCCTGACTTTTGAAATTTATCCTTTTCAGCATACAAGATTTCTGATACAATGACAAATTCTGTCTTTTCGTTATGGCTATTTTCAAATATATACAAAAAAGAAAAGACTTACGAAGCCAGATGAACCTAATCTTCCATCATTATCATTTCAGGCCATTCTTATTTCATCTATCCCCGTGTACACTAGGGGGTTACTTTAATTCTAGTTCGAGACATCATGTCATTTAAGGCATAATCTCTTAATGCATTTTTATTTTTTAATTAAGTTTATCGGGGTAACATTTGTTAACATAAAGTGTATAACTTTAATATAACAGCAGATTGCATTTTTTAAATTAAAGTCTTCATAACTTAATGGTAATAAAGAAAGTAAATATTTTATCAGTTCCCAATTGTCTCAAAAATACGTTTGGTTCTTAGGTCAGATTAATTGCCCTCAAAAATCTAAAATATATCCTCACAGCTTTCATTAGTTGCGTCTCTTAACATATAGATTTTAGTTTTTAATTTTTTTACTTCTAGAGTCTTTGGATTTTTTTTTTTTTTTTTTCAGAATAACTTATATGGCAGGTACCAGAATTAGCACCCCAAAGAAAAAACTCCACAAAGGTGTCCATGTGTCCATTTAAAGTAACCTGTTGTCTTTTAGCTTGCCTCATCCCATAGGACTTCTCTCCCATCTCTGTAGATTCATCATCACAGACAAACACAGATTTCTGGTAACGAGTCTTATTCTAAAGCACAGTGACAGCAACAGCTGGTGTTTTTAGATTCTTCAGGATTGGACGCCACCTTGAAACTTGGTGGGAAACAAAAGCAACTTCAGTCATCTTGCAGTCCTCATCCAGCACAGCTACGTGAGACACCATTGTCCTGCATGAGCTTAGTCCCTTCTTGTCTTCAGGATCATAAAGGCTCGACTGAACTTTGGTCTGGAACTGATGCCTTCAGCTTTTGAGGTCAGTGACCCAAAGGATTGCCAAGATGTGCGCCACTTGACGCTGAGTTTTCCTTTACAGACGTCACCCCACTCCCATCTGCCCCTCCATGCTGTCTTGGCCTTGGCACGCTGCTTCTCAAAAGCTGTATTTTAACTATGTGCAAGACCCCATCAAAGAAACATTTCTGCTGGCCTCCGGAGATGTGTCGATTTTAATAAAGGTTTCTGTCTATACTTGAGAAATGGTAGGTACAGCGTGAACTGCCTTTTTCCAAATGTTCTAGCTCAGAGCAAACAAAATGGCGACTGTCCAGGAAAACTCACTCTGGGCTCCTTTTTGGCCACAGCAGCTATATGGAAGCGGCGGCTTGGAGAAGGGCCAGTCCACTTACTTACCTTTTTAAATACTTATCGTTGAAGTTGTTGTGGCCCTTGCACGTGGGAATTTGCCACATTGTAGATGTGGCTTCTAGAGGCTCTGGTACCGTTGAATTGCCCACCCTTTCCTCATGTTTCCTGCACAGGGAGGAGATGGGCGCTTGAGGTTTGGTCCCTGCAGACAGGTGTGCGATGACGGCTATTGAGGCCATAAAAACAAAATTTTCTCCAAACCTATAAATCCTCTCCAGAAAGGCAGCAGAAACAAAATCAGTTTTATTACCGAATATGCATTAAACTAAACTAGGTGAACATCGCAGGCAATCTACCGGGAAACCGCAAAGACAAAAATCTTACTCCTCCCTGTGTAGAAAACCTAATCCGACTCATTACATACATGGATCCAAGATAAACTAGTCTTGAAGAGGACTTGACAGGTGCCATTTGTCGCATACAGTTCATCCTAACTCTACTTGGTAATTGGGGTGACTATCGTTAGCTTACTGGCTTTATCCAGAGGGAAAACAACCTCGCTTTTATCGAAGAAGGTCCTTTTGTAAGTTGAGGCTCCTCCCTTCCCACAGGACCTGGCAGAGGAGTTATCACGCTTGATATTTGCATTCTGAAGAGATGGCTTCCAGGTTCTTGAGAAAGACATTTCTGGGTCCTAAAGCTGGAGAAGAAAAGCCAGATGACAAAAAGCCCATCTGGTCTTCAAAGGCATACACTTTAAAGGGATGAGAGAGTTCTTACAAGTTTTCTAAGGCAAATGCTCTGAGAATCAGGAGGGGAAAGAAATCCCTTTTCTCAGTTTTCAACAGGTAGAATTAAATTATTTTTAAAAAATTCATAGTCTATGGCCATGCTACCTCGAACAAGCCAGATCCCGTCTAATCTCGGAAGCTAAGCAGGGTCGGGCCTGGTTAGTACTTGGATGGGAGACCACCTACAAAGAAGACCAGTTGCTGTAGGCGTAAAAAATAAATTAAAAAAAAAAAAAAAGATTTTAAGCTGACACGGTCCTTGCAGTCTATAAGGTCAACCAAGGGTTTTCTCGCCTAAAAAATAAATAAATAAATAAAATAAAAAAATTCATATTTGTTGAATAAAATAATTTGTATGTGACACCTGGAAACAAATAGCGTGAACTATGTTTTGCTACCACACTGACAGCCTGAAAACAAAACATTTCAGGTACTGGATGTGACATGCACACGTCTGGGGACCTTGTATGATGTGTGATATTAACATGGCACAGTACACGGCACCTCACATACACCCTGGAGACATAGTTTGACAAGTGTGAGATGCTGTCATACCATCAGGTGTGACAGACTAAGCTTCACTGGAGAGGCCAGACCTGGTCTTGCCTGGTGAGGGAGTGGCTGACTTAGTTCCTCAGGGGGAAAGGGAACGTTTTTAGGGATTGGCAGTCCCTGTCAATCTTTGATTGGCATTTGATCTAAAGGGGTGGGGATGAGTAGTCAGGGCTAAGGTCAGCTCTATAGGGGTGGGATGAAAGAGTCTTGGGGACAGGGACTTGAGAGGGTCACCCTAGACATTCTTAGGCTTTAGCACCTCTTTTGTCCACAACAGTAACTGATACTGATTGATAGCTGAATACAGTGGGCATTGGTTGGGGGAGACACGCCGAGAGGCAATACCAGGAGAAAGACCAACGATATCCAGAGTGGCATCAAGAGCTAGTCGTGTGTTTGGAGGGACACTGATGGCCCTGTCAGGGTTGCCCTGTCGCTGGTGTGGCCATCCATGGGAACAGTATTCACAGGAGAAAAGTGGGTTTTGGGGGAAGGCGCTGCATATCTGTGGGTGTGGGATCAGGAGGCCTCAGGTAGAGCTGTCAGGGTGTGGTTACTTGATGGTTCGGTGCTCAGTACATGTCTCTGGGGGTCTGGGCTGGAATCCTGGGCTGTTTCCCTTGGAGAGGATGCAGAACTAGATGAGGAGACCCAGAGCAATGTAGACTAAATCTTCCCCAGCTCAGCCATTTGGTGAAGTTATGCCATTTAGAAAGATGCAAGAATTCAGATTGTAATGAGAGAACGTAGAAGAAAATACTTTTTCCTGGTAGCTTACGTAGACGAGAGTTTTTAACCTCTAGCATTTCTTTTTCATTCTTTTTGTGTAATTTCCATCTCTCTGCTTATATTCTCCATCTGTTCCTGCATGTTATCTGCTTTTTCCATTTTACCGCTTAGCCAGCTGTCTCTCAGTCCCGGTGGGAAGGTAGGAGCCTCAGCCTGGTGGATGCCCTGCTCAAATTTACAAAACTACCTCCCTTCATAAAGATGAGAAATTTGTTTTTCCTCTGGATAAAGGCAATCATTTACCACAGATAGCCCAATTACCAGATAGATTTAGGAAGAACCACGTGTGACAAATGGCGCTGTCAAATTCTTTTACTTGACTAGTTGGTTTTTTTTCAGGGCCAGTTTCCTTATTTTTAGACCAGAGTAACTTTTGATGTTCTTAAGATAAGGATTGAGATGGAAGTTTGAGAAACTAAGAGGTAAACCTGTCAAAAGATTATTCCGCTGCCCCTTTTTCTGCCCAAACCATATTATTCCATTCTCACCCATATAGTTTCAGTCCTGGGCAGCCTTGGGAGTGTGCTGCTGGGTTCTGCCTCATGATAGATCTCGCTGTGATAAGTGAACCTGGCCGACAGCCCCAGCAATGTTGTTTTGGGGATCCACTGTAGCCTTCCAGAAACTACAATCTCAGTAGGCTGCCCTCAGCCAGTGGTTGAGCATGGTGCAGGTACCAGAGCTGGGCGACTAGTTATTGTCTATTTCCAAAACACGTATATAATGGGTTATATCTGTTTAGCTATGTAAGAGTGTAACTCAGTAGACCCAGGCCTGGAACTTACGCCTGGGTTTGGATATTCCAGAAAAACCAGCAGGAGAACCATAGAGTTGAGAAATGCCGTTTTTTACTCATGAGGCAGGGAAGCTTCAGCAGCGGCCGGTCGGAGCTGCAAGAAAAAAGCTGCTGCTGACCGAAAGCAAACA